AGAAAAAGCTAGAAATTTGCAAAAAGAAGCCTACACTCTTGCAATTCATAAAAAAGAAACATATGGAGAGCGGATCTAGAGAACTAAAATGTTTTGCGGACGTCAATTAATTATGAGGGTCGTAACAAAAAGTCCAAAGAATCCGAGACCGTTTTCTTTCAACCAAAATGATTGACAAATTATCTCCTGGAACATTAGAGGTATTAATGATCATAAAAATAGGGTTATAATAAGAGGATGTCTAAATAGATGGAAGCCTACCATCATTTGCCTTCAGGAAATAAAACTGGAGGTAATATTTGAAAAAAATATTCACAGTCTATGGAAATGACCGACATTGGTTGGCATTTTCTTCTGTTATAGGCTCTACTGGTGGTATCTTAATTATGTGGAGTACGAATGTAGTTCAATGTCAGAATGTCATTACAAATGAAGTAACTCTTTCTTGTCTGTTTTCTAACAACAATAGCAATTTTTGGTATTGCTTTGCGGTGTATTGCAGGGGTAACTTTTTGGAATGTTTTCTACTTGAAGAGGAATTACTTAATATCAAAAATACCTGGGGGGTCAAGGGTTTAGTTGGCTGTGATTTCAACATGATATTGAGGAGCTCTGAAAGATCTGGCTGCAACTACTCCAATATTGATATCGATGATTTCAGGGCCTTGCTTGACAAACTTAATTTAAACCATTTACCTCTTAAGGGTGGAAGATGGACTTGGAGTAATTAAAGAAGCCAACCATCTTTATCTAGAATAGACAGATTCCTTATATCATTACAGCTGTTTTTGGAATTATCTGGTGTCAGTCAAAATGTTCTCTCAAGATCCACTTCTGATCATTTTTCAATCTCTCTAACCATGGACAGCATTAAATGGGGCCCTGTTCCGTTTAGACTTGACAACAAATGGCTAGGTCTTGAAAGCTTTAAAGATTTAATCACTAACACATGGAAAAACACTCATGTTCAGGGTTCCATTTGTTACAGAATTGCTGTCAAGCTAAAATCCCTAAAGTAGGAAATTAAAAGATGGGCCAGAGACATGGCAGAAACGAAGAAGAAAGCATAACTGATCTTATTTCTGAAATCGATGTCCTGGATAGGAAAGAAAAAAATGGTATTGTGAATTTTCTGGAAAGAGAGGAAATGTCATTTGAAAGCTGATTTAGTCAAGAAACTACAAATGAAAGCTACCTCTTGGAAACCAAAATTAAGAGAAAAGTGGCTCAAACTTAAGAGTGAACTACATTGAAGAACTCAATATTGATAACAAACGCATCAAGGGTAATGAGGCTTTTAGAGAGGGGGCAAAAGAGCATTTTCAGAAACTGTATAAAGAGAGCACCAATTACAGGCCCAAACTTGACAATCTCTTTTTCAACAGTTTTGATGAGGCTCAAAAAATTCTACTGGAGGAGGAATTTTTCGAGGAAGAGATCTGGTCTTGTTTGAAAAATTGTGACGAGGATAAAGCCTCGGGTTCGGAATGATTCAACATCAAATTTTTACGAACTTTTTGGGAGGTCATTAAGCCCGATATTCTTGATTTCTTTAAGGATTTTCATGCTCATGGTAAATTTGTTCTCTCTCTCAATTCAACCTTTCTTGTTATGATCCCAAAAAAAGCTCATCTCAAGAGTTTCAATGATTATTGTCCTATTAGTCTCATTGGTTGCATTTACAAACTGTTATCGGAAGTGTTGACTAATAGACTTACAAGTGTGCTAAAATATATAATCAGTACTTCTCAACACGCATTTGTTAATGGCAGACAGATTACTGATTCCATCTTTATTGCTAACGAGCTTGTGGATGAGACCTTTCGACATAATAAGAAAGGTATCTTATGCAAACTGGACATGAAAAAGGTTTTTGATCGTATTAACTGGAATTTCCTAGATTATTTGCTGCAGAGAATGGATTTTGGCGATAAATGGAGAAATTGGATTAAATCTTGTGTCACTATAAGTAGTCTTGCTGTATTAGTGAACGGTCGACCTTCCTCTTTCTTCACGTCTTTTAGAGGGTTGAGATAAAAGGATCTGTTGTCATTGCTTTTATTTATTATTGTTATGGAGGCTTTGCATCAACTATTAGAGAGAGCTAAAAACATTCAGCTTATTAAGGGGATATCAATGAGAAACAACATAAGACAGATTGAAATTTCCTACATTTTTTTTGCGGATGACACTCTCATATTCTGTCAACCTAACACAAGTCATTTAATATTTCTCAAATGCATTCTGATTTGCTTCCAGGCTGCGTCAGGATTAAAAATTAATCTTCACA